CAAAATAAAAGGGACTGGAAGTTCTTATAATGATAATGAAGACGGCAAGAAGCAGAACGCGACAGCCATGAAATCAACTGGTCGCACGTGCATCAAGTTCTGGATTTCTCTCAATGAATAGCCTAGCCGACATCGCGGCGGGCTATATATCGAGTATTTAAGTGAGACTCTAAATGAGTTCAAACCAGTCATGGGCGACGTCACCTGAACGACGAATCAAGGTACCTGATTTGACCCAATGGATGGTGTGGGTAAGCGAAGACAAGAGGAGAGACGGCCTGAGAGTCGGTTTCCAATGATCCAATCTGACCAAGTTATTTGGCTAATCTGCTAGTTTTATCATCTCGACACTCAGCCACTATCGAGCCGTTTGAGCGGGACCGTGATTGGAGGGTCTGCTGCGGGAGAGTGAAGCGGTCGATCATCACCAGGCAAGAACCCTGCTTAGCGTTGGCGCCAGAAGACTCGGGGAACAATGGAAACTTCTTTGGCCCTTCTAGCGTCAAAACGAGGGGGGGTTCTTGGTATCCCCCCTGTGGTCGGTGGGATTGACAGTTGTGATTGGAGGCAGTGGACGGGGGTGAGTAGCCCACACCATCCGACTGCAGTTGGAAACACGATCGAGGACGATGATAGGTGTGATCATATAATGCCAACATCATCGCTCTGCCGACTAGATAGACGGTAAGCACTCATTCACTCCCCTTTCTCCACAAGAATGCGCTGTGGAGCCGCTGCTGACATTCTGTTTGGCCGTGAGGCTTTGGAGATAGACTCGGTGCTCCGGAGTTCGTAGTAGATTGCCTTGTTTACTGGGTAGGTTTGACTTGGGGATCATCTGCGATGAGGGCATTGACATTGGGTGATCTTGATTCGCTGAGAGGTTCACCGGGAAGGCACTGATATGTACTAGGTAGTCAGCTCTTAGACAAAAGTATATCAGAGCGAGCTTAGAAAAAAGGGCGACAAATGGTAAATCCCCGCAAAGACAGCCTGAGAGGAAGTACCCGGCGGACGAGCCTCCAAACGAGAGATATGGGCAAAAGTACGAATGGTCGAGTCATGTGTTCCCCGAGCCGGACCCTCAGCCAACAATCTTGTCATTTAGTCTACTCATCAATTATTACTCTCTGCTACGATGAGATCACAATCACAAGATCAATTCAATTCACTCGGCAGTCGGCACGTTCTCCGGGGAGAAACAATCTGAATCATCATTTTGGTCTACATGAGAGGTACTAAGGTATGGAGTAGACTACAGTGTATCTGGTCCAGCGAGTGGCCCAAGAACAGTTGTTCCTACTCCACAGCCCACACGCAGTAAATCAGCGATTCGACAGCCTTGTGGGCTTGCTCTCGTCCAAGTCCACTACACAAGGAATCATCATCTATCTGTCCAATGATAATCAGTCACATTGCGCCAAGAAAGCCGGTTGCAACCGATCGCTTGGCCTTGGAGTCGGGGCTTGGACTTTGAGAATGAACTTTGAAGAAGCCAAAGGCATCATCACAATCAACCGCACAGCCCCCGGCTACTTTAGCGTCTGACTTAGCCCATTGAGGACTAGGCGATTGGCAAGGCTTCCGGGCGTACATCTGATGCATTGAGCTGCTCCTTCATGATCATAATGATGCAGGTTCAAAAATCCCGCACTTCCGATTGCTATGAGTAGGATGCAAACTACGGCCGTTCTGCACGGGAGAATACGAGGGAGTCGTCGAGTGAGGCGGATACAGGCTTCCGTCAGCCAGTTGTCTTTTTTGACAACCGGGGCAAAGAGGTACTATTTTGCTCTCTACTATAGTCAGTTCTCGCTCCTCGGACGCAGGGAACGTTTATCTTGATTAGGGGAGTTTTGATAGGCAACAGCGAGTAAGCTTCAGCCATGTCCTGCCAGGGTGTCATCTGCTTGCTTCACAGCCCAGAGGAGCTATTGATTCATCTTAAGCTCTGACGGAGGGGTAAACCTTCTTCGGTGACTCTAGCCTTGGAGCTTTCTCCTCCTCGGCACCTTTAACTGTGCTGTTTCTTACTTTGACTGGATCAGCCAAACTAGGAACAGAAAGTAGCATAAGCAGAACTCCCATGTTCCGCTGTCCCATTCATTTACTCATCCACAGATGACACCATAGAAGAACTATGAGGAGGAAAAAGAAACAGACAAGGAGGGGGAAAACAGCGGCAGGAAGTAAATGAAGTAATTATCACATATTCCCGCCATCACCAGTCAAAACCCAACCAGCCTAATGCGGACAATCAAGACTACCACAAGTATCAAAGATGATGATGATGGAGATGAAGATGAACCTGTCAAAATATCCCTGTTCGCCACCTGTCCAGCAGAAAAAGGAAAGCCCGCCCCATATGCACCCAAGATACACTTCTTATAATTCATCCTCCAGATACTTGTAGATAAATTTGAAATCCGCCTTGCGCCGGTTCATCCTGCGTCTCGATTAGTTTGTTACATGGGAAAGAAAAGAAGAAGAGAAAGGCTTACCAGGTACTCTCGTAATCGAAGAACCGATATGTACCCTGTTCATAGTCCTCGGTGATGTTTTTCGGCTCCTCGTGGCGTTGGAACCATGTCTGGTACTGTTTATGGAAGCGCCAGCTCTGGTTCTTGAGCGCCTTTGCCGCCAGGTACTGCTGGTAGCTTCCCTGACGGTAGTAAAACAAGTAGAAAAGCGTATCGGTATCGATCCGTCCGGTGTCATACAGACGAGGATCATCGAATATGGCGAGTGGTTCTTGTGGGTAGTAGAGAGGGGTGTTGTAAGGATTCGAGGGTCGGTAATGACGGGGCTTCTCTGCATCGGCAGGCTCCGGGCAAGTCGCCAGTGATGCTGCGAGCAGCCGCTGAACCGATGGTGACGAGCTTGTAGCACTGTTCGCCGCGCGGCTCTTGGTGATCTCAAACGACTGAATCAAATCCTGCAGCCCTGGTGGCAGATGGTAGATCGACTCATCGCGCTGCTCATCTTCCTTGGCTGTCTCGCCGTTGGCTGTCGCAGGTTGTTCCTTGGCGGCTGCGGCGTTCACCTTATCCATCGCTGGAGTAGAAGGCATCGTATTCGAAGCACTGGCCGCTGCGGGCGTCCCTGCGGCGCTGGAGCTGAGAGCTGGAGTCTTGGACCGACCGTGTCCACCAGGCTCTTCGGTGACGGTTGCTGTCGCTTTCGATACTGGTTGGACCGAGGACACAACTGGCGATGCGGTGGATGACGCTCTCGAGACTGGAATGGCGGCGGTGTAGGCAGGGCTCATGCCAGGCGGTGGGGGCAGAGGCGCAATACCGACGCCGTTTTTGTCGCTGGCAGCTGCGGCAGCCGCTGCTGATGCGTATTTGAGAGTCTCGCCGGGGGGACGAGTTGGAGGAGGAGCGGGTTTCATGCCAGAAGTGGCGTTGGAGGGTGTTGGAGGGTGAAGTGTTGCGAGAACTGGCAAAGGTGACTTCATCTGCGCTGATGGCCGGCGGAGCCCACTAGCGTCGGCTTTCGACGATTTCGCCTTCACTTCCGGCTCGTCCTCCTGGATCGATAGTGTGTCTTGCGACGAAACGCGATCGTTGTCTCCAATTATTCCAAACTGCGCCTCGGCCTCTTCGCCCAGATTGAGATCATCATAGAGCGTCTCATCTTCTCCGCAGAAATCGACGTTGTGTCCATCATCCACGTAGTACTTGATACTCTCCTTCAGGTCCACCACCTGGCTGGTTTCGACCGCGCCGTTCTGAAGCGCTCGTAGCAGCAACTCAAGTTTGTTGACGTGCCACTTATGTCGCTCCAGTATCCGCGAAAGGTCCGATAAACGATTTGTCCTGGCGATATCCTTCTTGCCCTTCTTCATCTGCACGTGAAGGGTCTCCTCTTCGGCCTCCATCGCCTCGATTTTCAGTTGAAGTTCGTCCACGCAGCTCGATAGGAAGTCGCACGCTTCGAGTTTTTCTTTTTCTTTGGGATCGAGTCGCGACGCAGCGGAAAGGCCTTCTTTGGAGTACGCCTTGGTCTTCATCTCCTTTTCCACAGCTTTGAACTGCTCCATACACTGCAACCTCTGTTAGCTTTCTCCCATGTCCCGGAAAGGCAGTGTCAGCCGGTTTGGAATCGTTAGCCCACAGTTTCGATTGCTCTGCGCTGCTCCAGCAGCGGTCCTTTGTCTTTGACCTCATTACCTGAAGCCCATGACTTGATCTGGTCGCGGAATCGCTGCAGCTTCTTGATCTCTCGTTTCAGGTTCTCCTCCAGCTTATCTCGCTGGGTAGGATTCGATGTTGAGCGGATCTTCTCATAGATCCCTTCAAATGTCTGTATGCCTTCCGCGACCTTCTTGAAGGTCTTGTCGATCTCTTGCTGTGTTTTGCGGGACGTCATGGCTGCTGTTCACATGAACAGATCGCCGTGGGGAGAAAGGGAAATTTCGGCGTTTTAGGGAGATATGGAAAGGTGATCGGCGGGTTGGAAGCTGCGGTTCCAGTGGGAAGGAGGAGAAGGGTGTTGGGCGACAATGCGAAGTAGACGCGCTGGGAGATGATGCCAGAAAAGGCTGGGAATGTTAATGAATCTCCTGGTGCTTGTCGGAGTTGTCAAGACCTGGTGAAGGCGGTGAGTTTGGCGGGCAGCAAGCAATGTGCGGGAGGGTTATCGAAGGCGGAGGCGGCGAAACCACTGTTATCATCATCTACTTATTCTACGTGAATGTCCCTCCGCTAATTCTTTTATGGGTTGAATATTCTACTGCTCTGTGTCAAAGAAAATTTGATAAGAGCTTGTCCTAGGAACTGATGATATCCCTGTTGTGACCTTTGAACTAGGTATGTCATCTCCGTTCCCGGCTATTTCCCGATGCGTCTTTATTCTGATTCATAGCTTGTGAAGCCTCACAAAGGCCTATATTTTCGCTTTGACAATAGACTTTAACAATCGTCTAGTCTAGTTAGATCTTCCATTGAATATTCCTTTCTCGGATTCCGAGCGGATCCTCCGCGAAATACTTCGACATGAAAGGTGCGCCTAGCTCTCTCCACATAGTCCCTCTCCGCTAATTCATGAGTAGCGGTCATCCAGAGAGTGAAATCTGCGTCGGTCACGGTAGATGAGAAACTGGTCTCGTCAATCGGCCGCGGCTTGCTTGTTCTTGCTGGCGTAGGCAAGGAGGATACCGAAAAGGACGCAGACACTCTCATTCAGCGGATATTGAAGGCCAAGTTATGGCCTGCCGAAGAAGGCGGCCAAGTGAGTAGCCTATACCCCGGGAAGGGCGTACCAGAAGCTAACTATGCTTTCCCATTCAGTGGAAAAGGAACGTGCAAGACATTGAGGGGGAGGTGCTGTGTGGTGGGTTTGGCCGTCTAGAGATCTTGGAATGCGCCCTTTAACTCTGACACAGTATCACAATTTACTCTCTACGGTCAATTGAAAAAAGGCAGCAAACCCGACTTTCACGATGCAGCCGACGCGGAGACAGCACGGAAACTATACGATTACTTCTTCCGCCGGCTGCGCGAAGCGTACAAACCTGACCGGGTCCAGAACGGCGTCTTCCAGGCCATGATGGATGTCGAACTGAAGAATGATGGGCCGGTGGGTGTAGATTACCGCAGTGAGGATGCGGCGGTTAGCTCTTGCTCCTCCTCGTACCTCGTTCCAATTGAGAATGTCAAACAGTGCTGACGATGAGGGCCAACTTTAGGTCACAATCGAGATCAACACCAAACTGGCGAAGGAGAAAAAGCCCGGGGAGGGCCAGAATAAGCCGCAGGGCGAACGGAAAGACGGCGAGACGCAAACCATTGAGTTTGAACTACCAGCATCACTGCTGGAATAATGACCTAACATGCTATATGCTGAAAAGGTGTTTGGTTGCTTCGGAATGGGTGTAAATATAGATAGATTCACAAATTGCACATAATATAATGATTTGGGCTAGTTCCTTTCCAGAATGAACCTCAACGGAACCTCCACGCATCTAAAATTGGAAGAAGTGGTCTTATATTGTTAGCTACTGCCCGCAGGCTGAATGAGTGCGGAGTTGATGGAAGCTTCTTGAAGCATCGCAAAAAGGGCTGGGCCAGCCCACTTTGTCCGTTAATTCCTCAGCTTCTCCTCACTAACTCCTCTCACTTTCTGACACGACACTTTCGCTCTGCCACTGTTCATATTCCCCTAGTCATCTTTTGGCACATTCATTCATTATTGCACTACTTCTAGCTTGCAATCATGGCTGAGTCTCAGCGTACGTACTGCTCCGTCTAGTGTGGGGTTCTCGACCCCGGGATGAGGGGTTACTGATTTGGTGTGATCGCAGGTCGTCCTCGCGTCTACTTTGACATTCAGATTGGCAGCCATAAGGCCGGTCGTGTCGCAATTGAATTGGTGAGATTACCAGTCTGTTTTCGTCAATTGGGCCGCTCAGCTAATGTTTAACTGTGTAATCTCAGTTCAACGATGGTACGAAACGTGTTTCCAGTTTTCGTCACTGAGATACTAACGGTCCCCCAGTCGTTCCCAAGACCGCAGAGAACTTTCGTGCTCTTTGCACAGGAGAGAAGGGCATGGGAAAGCAAGAAAAGCCACTGAGCTACAAGGGTACGACCTTCATCCTGTCTCTTCATGTGCGATTCAGAGTCTTACGGTTGCGCGCGCTTAGGATCCATTTTCCACCGTGTGATCAAGCAGTTTATGATTCAGGGTGGTGACTTTACCAATTTCAATGGAACTGGTGGTGAATCTATTTACGGCGAGAAATTCCCCGACGAGAACTTCGAGCTCAAGCACGACAGACCTTTCCTGCTCTCGATGGCCAACTCTGGTCCCGGCACCAATGGCAGCCAGTTTTTCATCACCACTGTCCCAACCCCCCACCTGGACGGCAAGCACGTGGTCTTCGGTGAGGTGATCAGCGGAAAGAGTATTGTTCGCAAGATCGAGAACATGCCTACCCAAGCCGACAAGCCTACCACTGACGTGACCATCGTCGACTGCGGTGAGCTCACTGGCGAGGACTATGAGAATGCCACCAAGCAGGTTGCCGATGCCACCGGAGACCCCTACGAGGACTACCCCGATGATCACCAGGGCGAGGAGCTCAACGCTCAGGTTTGCTTCAAGATCGCTTCCGAGCTAAAGAACTTTGGCAACACTGCTTTCAAGAGCGGCGACCTTGTCCTTGGACTTGACAAGTACCAGAAGGGTCTGCGCTACCTGAACGAATTTCCTGATCCCGATGAGAACGATCCCAAGGACCTCGAGCCTCAGATGAAATCTCTTCGCTTCACTCTTCACTCCAACTCGTCCCTACTCGCGAACAAGCTTGGTCAATACAAGAACGCCCAGAACTGGGCTACCTCCGCCCTTGAAGTCGCGGATGCCGCCAACGCTAAGGAAGCAGATAAAGCAAAGGCCTACTACCGCCGCGCTGTCGCCTACAGTGGCCTGAAGGAGGAAGATGAGGCTCTGAAGGATCTCCAGGAGGCTTCGAAGCTGGCCCCCGGTGACGCTGGCATTCTTAACGAGATCGCCAAGGTCAAGAAGGCGATCAAGGACCGTGAAGCGAAGGAGAAGGCAGCCGCTCGGAAGTTCTTCTCATAAAGCATCGGCGTCATGGTTCATCGGTCAATGACTCATGATTTTATGTATTCCTTTCCTTTCAGTTGCGCGCAAAAGCGGCGATGCTCATTGCATTTCCTTGCGATTCCCCGTTCTCGAGCAGTCAGGAGCTGAAGGGGGTTCTGGGCCAATATTTTACCGGCTCTGAAGCATGGTGATAGGCGAATTGTGTTCGTTCTCGCGTGATACGCCCAGCAATGGTTGAACTAGCGTATGAATAAAATAATTCCAACAAGAGGTCGAGTATATGGGTCTCTGAAGCGGAGTCGCGAATTTAAACATGGTAGAATTAGATCACGATCGACTATTGGTAGCTGCGAGGCGACAAGAGTCTTAAGGCCGGAATTTAATTCTCTGACAATGCATATATGGATTTCTCCGTGACTCAATAGATACCAACGGGAACAGGATTCAGCAACTGAAGGAATACGATCACCTCATTCTCTCGATACCGAACTAATATCTCATACCTGATCTGCGAAACGCAGACAACCCGAGAAAATATCTACGAAACCGAGCGTCCAGACTCAGCAAGGAATTTCTCATAACGTCCCTTACATCTCCGTCTCCAGCTCTTGCCCCAAATCAACATCGGCCCAGCCATAAGCATGGAAAGAAGCACCCAGATGCCAAAGAATGTAAAGGTCCAGCCGTAATTCGTCGCGTCGATGAAATGCTGCACGGAGAAGGAAATGGCGAAGTTGATGCAGGATGAACAAATGGCGAGGACGATGACGAGTTCTCCAGAGATCTGAGCTTGTCAGAGGATGCTTGTCTCACTTCGGGGAATAAGGTGGGTTCTGGGAAGTTGTTGAAGGGGGAAACCTACCCGGTCGAAGCACTCCATTGCATATGCGGTCGCGATACTCGTCGCAGAGACTTGCTGTGCGATCATGCAGCAGAGCCCGACGGCGATCGAGATCCAGTGGTCACCGGCTGTGGCGCCCCAGCCGTAGGTGAAGTAGCCTATAGCGCCGAGAATGAACGGGAGGATATAGGCCCAGAGACGCATCTCGGGTTCTTTGTAGCCTTTGTTCCGACGGGCTAGGAATAGGACGATCCAGTCTGAGAAGGAGCCGATTCCCATGCTAATTCACTGTCAGATTGAGACTGTCAAGACTCTCTTGTTGGAAGAGATAGTTCATATGCTTACCCGATGAAGTTACCGACGAGAGCAGCTAGGAACAGTAGGCCTACTGACCCTGCACTCCAATTGTAGGGTGGCTCCGTCATGATCTCCGAGATGGTGTTGAAAGAGACGATACCGGCTGTACAGCCAAAAGCGAATTGAATGCCAGCCAGCACAATGTTTGGAAACGCAAAGAGGTAGAAGGGCCGCCGGAAGTACTGGTACCAAGTCGTCTGGTCATCTTCAAGGTAGTGGATCAGGGCGACTTTCTGGCGATAGGTCCGAGGGGGGATGTCGACTTCACCAGTGCCATGGCTTACAGCGATAGAAGTAGACTGTTCGAGCTTCTGATCCATTTCAGACGTGACTTGTGCGTCACCCTGTGTGGTGCAAGTCTTAGTCGTCGCAGCTGAAGGGCCTCTATTCCCGAATCGGTATCTCGGGAACATTGTATCATCGAACGTGAAGATGAATAGTAAGATCAAAATCCCCTGATGTGAGTCAGCTCCTAGATCACAGTCAAGATTAAACAGTCGAGGCTCACGCATGCAATCGCAACAATAGGCTGGCTCCACCTCCAGCCGATACCATCAGTGATGTACCCTCCCAGGATCAGGCCCAAGATAGAGCCCAGCTGCTGGAAGAAAATGTAGATGGCCACCATTCTACCGCGCTCGTGCGTAAAGAAAAGATCGAAGATCTGGGGTGGTCCGTCAGCAGAAGGATCCTAATCAAGAACGGCTCAATGCAAAACGTTAATTGAATAAGAGCTTGATATGCGGCCGTTCCAATGCCACCGATAGCAAGCATAGCGTAGTATTGGGCTGTGCCTTCGAAGTATGCACCCCAAATACCACTGCCGAGAACGAAGAGCAAACTCAGAATGTAAACAATCTTTCGTCCGAGCTTCATTGCCGTGGGGATCCAGATCACATTGAAGAATCCAAGCAAGAGGTAGTTGAGGGCAGAGCCCCCGTTCATGTTCTCCAGGGTAACTCCAGTCTCTTCGGCTATGGTTGTCCATGCTGCACCCCAATTGTTTTCGCCAAAGGAGTTAACGCACGCATAGGCAGATATAAGAAAGAGAGACCAGTATTTCTTGCTTCTAGACCAGTTCTAGCCAAGGAATCAGTACCAGGCCGAGAGTCGTCAGACAACTCAAACTTCACTCACCAGAGGATCAGCAGGGGAGGATGAAGGCTGCGGAATCAGAAGAATATCCTGCCCTGCATGGGCAGCACCCGTTAAAGTTGCGGAGGCTATACAAAGATTAGTCGGCCATCATGTCTCATTTCAAGGGACATTATTACCGTCGACCAGGTATACAGTTCCTGGGACATCTGTGTAAACATCATCCGAACGAGCCATCATGTGTCAAATTGATATCCGCAAAAGAATTGCTTCCACTACCGATCATCGCAGGGAATTGTGTTCTTTAAATACCTTCACGGCGCATAATACACTCGGGAATAGAGTTACAATAACTCTCTTTGGGCCGAGGGGTTCAGCACGTAGCTTCCCAATGACATTCTCATTGGAAGAGGTTGTGATCCCGAATACCTTCGATACCACTCCATACCCCTCACGATAACCCTGACAAGGTATGCCATTCGATAGCAGGCGACCGGAGGATATTGCCTGTAGGACAGCATTGAGCAATGAGATAAGCGCGCGGTGGGTCATGATCTTTTGACCTCAAGAGAGGGGAAGATACGATAAGTGACTGAAACGAGGAAGCTCCAAACGACAATCAGATATCAAGATCCAATGGAAGACAGTACGGCGGACCGAGGGACGAGGAGATTACCGCGATGTCATTGTCTTGTCTGTGTCAAAGCAACAGGGGTTAATATTTCGGCGAGCTCGACCAATGCCTTCATCTTAGAGGTGGTCAGGCGATAAGCCTCAGAGCAAGTATATCGACCAAGGCTTTCTATCCATCATTATGGGTCTGATTAAAGATGCGGGGACAGGACGATCTTTGATGATTTCCCCGGACTTTCTGGGTGCGTCCAAGAGATGAGGAAGGTCCAGCCGGTGCAGCTTCAAGAAATCCGAGGTGGGGAAAAACCACAAGTCCACAACATGATAAGACGGTCTCTGTCAGTAGCGTCACCTTGAGGCAAACAGCTCGGAACGATCCGACACTGGTTTGACTTGATATGGCATGATAGCGTGCCCTATTTCTATCATTGAAATACAGCTTCACTCCCAGTCGCAGATGAGTGTCTCATTGACAATCCGTCCCACCGGCGTTGCTCGTATAATAACTGCATCGAACTGATACAATGGCGCCCTTGAACTTGACCACCGAATCTTCCATTCTCATCATCGGAGCAGGCACATGGGGCTGCTCAACTGCTCTACATCTCGCTCGTCGAGGCTACAAAAATGTCACCGTTCTCGACCCTCATCCCGTTCCTTCACCCATCGCGGCAGGAAATGACATCAATAAAATTATGGAGCACAACGAGCTCAAGGGTACGACCGAAGTTTCTTCAGAATTGAAAGAGGATGTTCCGTTCTTCTAACCGTTAGATAGATGGCGCATCCGACCCCCGAAGCGCAGCCTTCTCGACATTTACGCGAGCGGCTCTAAAAGCCTGGAAAACTGATCTGGTTTTCCAGCCTTACTTTCACGAAACTGGCTCCATCGTATCGGGTCACACACCTGCTCTGATTGACCACATACGAGAGGACGAGGTTGAGCCGTCAGAAACAAACTTCATCAAGCTGGAAACAGCCGAGGACTTTCGCCGGACCATGCCGCCAGGCGTACTGACAGGCGACTTCCCTGGGTGGAAAGGCTGGTGGCACAAGTCTGGTGCCGGGTGGATTCACGCCAAAAAGGCCATGATCTCTGCTTTCAATGAGGCTAAGCACTTGGGAGTCACATTCATCACTAGCTCTCCGGAAGGGAACGTCGTATCATTAGTATACGAGGATGGCGATGTAGTTGGAGCCAGAACCGCCGATGGTCGTGTACACAGAGCCCATCACACCATTCTTTCGGCAGGTGCTGGCAGTGACGGTCTCCTAGACTTCAAGAAGCAGCTTCGGCCTACCGCGTGGACTCTCTGTCATATTCAGATGCATCCAGAGGAGGTCAAGCGATACCGGAACCTTCCTGTGCTGTTCAACATTGCCAAAGGCTTCTTTATGGAGCCTGATGAAGATAAACATGAGCTCAAGATTTGTGACGAACATCCAGGCTACTGCAACTTTCTCTCTGACCCAGACAGACCGGGCCAGGAGAAGAGTGTTCCCTTCGCAAAGCATCAGATCCCGCTGGAGGCAGAAGCCCGCGCACGAGACTTTCTCCGAGACACGATGCCGCATCTGGCTGACCGGCCACTGTCCTTCGCGCGCATTTGCTGGGACGCTGATACCCCAGACCGTGCGTTCTTGATCGATAGACATCCAGAACACCCCTCGCTGCTAGTCGCCGTTGGAGGTTCCGGCAATGGCGCCATGCAAATGCCTACAATTGGCGGCTTTATCGCTGATGCTCTAGAGAGTAAACTACAGAAAGAGGTGAAGGACGTCGTTCGATGGAGGCCGGAGACAGCTGTCGATCGAGACTGGAGAGCGACTCAGAATCGATTCGGTGGGCCTGACAGGATCATGGATTTTCAGAAAATCGGAAAGGATCAATGGACGAAGATAGGAGAAAGCAGAGTTCGGTTATAGACCTCGCGGCCTGTTCATCAAATTGAAGACTAGCTTAGACTTATAGGAGATGTCGCTACATAGATAGCATGTTTGGAGCTGGCCATCGTACTTTGGAGTTCAGGGAATTACTCTTTTGCTCAATGGGCTCGGGGAGAAAGAAGGCTCTGACGAGAATATCGTACGTAAATCTTGTTCTCTAAGCCAAAAAAAAAAGATGCAACAATGAAGGAAATATGGCAATCACACTAATGTAAAAGTTACCCAGTGTGTAGTAGAACATCAAGTCACTTGCTGGCAAAAGCACAACTTCCCATATCCATTTTGACCACCTCTGCCTCAGGCCGGATATCAAAATCGAAGATATCCATTGGTACCCCCAACGTGGTGCACGCATTAGGTATGTCCACAAGCCCCGCAATATGCCCCTGAACAGGGGCACAGCTCAATAGCAGATAGATCTGATAATCACTGTAACCATAGCGGCGAAGATACTCAATGACCCGCAGACAAGTCTGACGATACGCAACCGTCGCATCCAGATAATGCTGCTTGCCGTGCTCGTCGACGGAGAACCCTTCGAAAGTCAGATACCGGCCGGGCCCGAACTGGGGTTCAACAGGGCCAGGGTGGAAGATGGGAGACTTCATCCCCATCTTCGCCATTCCGCCTTTGATCACTGTGAACTTGAGCGTTATGACGCCCGCCATCTCGATGGCGCCGCAGAACGAGATTTCCCCGTCGCCTTGCGAGAAGTGGAGGTCACCAACGGAGAATTTGGCCCCTGGAACGTGCACGGGGAGGTAGACTTTGGAGCCGCGGGAGAGGTTCTTGATGTCGCAGTTTCCTCCGTGCTCGGGACGGCCCTAGTCAAGCCTCTTAGATTATGTCCATGGGGCTTTGGGGGTAAGGTGCATACGCACGGGGATCGTCCTTGCGCCTTCTTTGGCGATCTTGACTTTGAGGTCTTCATCCGCACTGCCAGCATGGACATTCTTCGGTTCGGGGGCCTTTGCGACATCGCGGCTCCTGGTGTTCGCAGCGATAAGTTCGCCTTCACGACGATTCCACTCGGCAAGAATCTCAGCTGAGGGAGCGCAGCCCAGAATACCTGGGTGGATGAGGCCAGCGAACCGCACGTGGGGGATGTGTCGCGAAGAACAGAAGATTCCCTCAAAATCCCAGATTGCTTTGGCACTATCGGGTAGAGAAGTCAGATATGCACAATATAAGTGGAAGACAAGCGCACGGTTCAGGATAGATCTCATCCAGAAACCCTCCACCATTATTGGGACTGAAGATTCCCGTGAAACCCCAGGGCCGGTCCTCGAACGGCTGGACGTCTTGGATCTCAACAAGCAGAACATCTCCGGGCTCGGCCGTCTCAATCTCAAATGGACCGGAGAGATAGTGGATTTGCGTTAGGTCGACGTTCTTAACATCGTCGGCAGAATCATTGTTCTGTATCTGGCCACCAGTCCAATCGAGACATTCGATCTTGACCACTTCATTGTTGGCGATCTTGCCACAGGCAGGCACTGCAAGAATGATCACATTAAGGAGAGTGCTTTGGCGATGTCATTTACAGCAGACATACCATCTGGATGCCACCGATTCTAGCGATGTGTCAGCAATGTCAACATTCGGGGCTCTCTGACAGCACATACATGTAAGCCCGGTTGCTCCCAAGCAGGCTTATTGAGATCAACTTTGAGAGCGGTACGAAGTCCTTTGACGCCCATTTTGAGCTCACTTAGCTGTTCCTATAGGCAATATACCAAGACCAAGAAAGGGTAGTATTATGGTTTGATAGCATGCGTAGCCTACCAGCTGCAGAAGATTGATAGGATCGCACAGGAACATCACAACCTTTTGAATCCTCGCGGTCAGCTTCAGGAACCGAGGAAACTGTCCTGTGAACCTATCCTTTCATTCGATATCAAGTATACCCCGCAGGCGGGGAGGATAGGATAAGATGCTACTCCAAATGCAGATACTACTCCAAATTGTACTGAGCGCATTACGAGATGTCTACGTATCAGCGATGCATCCTTATCACTGTAACTCGCTTATCAGCGGGCCTCCGCAGTGTAACAGCAAATCATATCCAACCAAAAAAGGCATCGTTCTGAAGTGAGATGATAAACATGGCACGAAATGCCTTCGCCGTGATAGATATGGTAGGTGCGGGATCCTACATCGACAGGGGATCTACCCTTCAGACTCAGGCCATTGGCTCTCGCTGTTTGCCACTTTGCTCGAGCAGTGTTCCATCGATTCCAAGCCTAGCACCTTCTGCGGCATTAAAACATTGCTGGTCTATAAGACTTGGGCTCTTCAAGGGAACTTCCGTCCCGGACTTTCGGGTGCTTTTGTCCCCCGCACTTCCCCCTCATTCTGTAAAGCCAGATTCAGCTTGTCCAGGTTATCTAAGGACAGCCGCAGGAAATCATGCTTGTTCTTCCAGGTGACTTGGCTCTCGGCGAAACCTTCACTTTCGGCGGGACTGGGTGGAGGATCTGTGATCTTTGTAATCAGATATGCGGTCGATGCTTGTGCAACGCCGTACATCAGCACTCCAATGTAGGGTGCTTTGAGGACCACGGTGAAGGCGAAAGCAAAACCGAACAGAACACCTTGGCGATCCATAAACCAGCGTCGTTTCTGTTCTGGTGTGAAATGGATCCGGCAAAAGTAGG